TTCTGAACTAGAAATTGATGGGAACTCTGCAAGCTGACTTCAAATTCTGAAGAATTTAGACACAAATCCTACTTGAATTAGGATTCATGATTTCCAAATAATGACTTGAAGTTAAAACTCACGTCTTAATAAAGATAATGTGTGGTAAAGATTGTATCCAAGTGGGTGGCTTGGATAATGTGGAATATCAACTAGATTTTACGGGATAAAATCTTTTAATTTCATACGTAAAATATGCTCCAAACTCGAATAGAACTCTTCAACTAGATTTTAAGGGATAAAATCTTTTAATTTCATATGTAAAATATGCTCCAAACTTATATAAGACTCTTATAAGATTGACTTCAAATTCCTTGAGCAAACTTAGACATATCCTACTTGAATTAGGTTTCATGAATTCCAAATATAACTTGACGTTGAACTCCACATCTTGATAAATAGAATGTGCAACAAATAGTATATCCAAGTGGGTGACTTGGATAATGCTGAATATCGACCAGATTTTAAGGGATAAAATCTTTTAATTTCATATGTAAAATATGCTCCAAACTCATATAAGACTTTCCCAAGATGAGTGATTAACTTCCACTCGTAAAAAGAATGTGAAATTCCGAGAGTCTGCCAATTTGAAGACTCTTTAATTCCACTTAATTAGACCATACTATTAGGATATTTGAATATATGGATCTTGTTGTGACTTCCATGCTTCATGAGGTCCCTTAAATGATTTATATCAACTTAGTTCATAATCAATTCCTCACTCAACAAAAAGATTAAATAAACCTCATTAAAGAGCAATTTAGCCAATGACTAACCAAAGCTAAAACTTTAATTTTATTAATATCAAATTTTGATGTCTTAAAATCTGGCTGCAGGAGAAGAGAAAAATAATGTCACAGAAGAAAAAAAATTATTTCTATGGGAGAACATAAACATGAAGACAAATGAGATGGGAAAATTGATGACAAACCCTTTATGAAGGAAAAGAAAAAAGAATATTTATCTAATTTTAGCCCATACGTGCCTAGTGGTGTTATGTCTTTCTTGCAAGATTCTAAGAAAGTAGATTTGGTTAAACCACTACATGAAAAGGTCCGAATTCGAGGACAAATCATTTTTAAAAAGGGAGGTACGAAACGAACCAAGGTGGCACAAGTCATACTAGGTTACATGAGATCCCATGACCAAGGTTCCGATTCGAGGACAAATCTTGTCAAAAAAGGAGAAAATGATATGAACCAATATGACATAAAGCATTCAAGGGACCTCATGAAGCATATAGGTCATAGGAAGATCCATATATTCAAATATCCTCACAGTTTGGTCCAATTAAATTGAAGTAAAATAGTCTTCAAGTTATTGGACTCTCAAGATTTTACATTTCTTTTATAAGTGCAAGTTAATCACTCACTTTGGGAGAGTCATATTTGATTTTTGAGCATATTTCACATATAAAATTTAAAGATTTTATCTCTTAAGGGATTCCACATCATCAAAGTCGTCCACTAGATACAATATTTGCAACACATTCTCTTCATCAAGATGTGGAGTTCAACTTCAAGTCATATTTGGAATTTATGAATCCTAATTCAAGTAGGATTTATGTTTAAGTTTCCTCGAGGAATTTGAAAATCAATCTTGCACTAGTTGGTTTTTCTTCATAAATTAATATTTTAAAAGAGGTAGAATCATGTTTTGAAGTATGAAAGTTCAA